AAGATCAATCAAAGCTTCGATACACATATAGACACTCGAAAATTAAATGTGCCATCGACTACCCCCAAGAGATTTTGGAAGAGTAGAGAGAAGGAAAGGGAGAGAGAGAGAGAGACAAGAAGAACTCCATGTTTGATCATCATTATTGAGTTTATAATTCTTTTCGTATCATCTAGAAATATATATTATAATCTTTTGTTTAGTCAAGTTTACGAGCTTATCGCGTGAGACCGCGAGAGTTTCACGGCTGCGAGCACAGGTATACTATACTATCAAAAGTAAGAAGCAAAGAAGAAGAAAAAATGAACATCTGAGCAAATATTTAAGTGAATATATAATTATCGAAATTAATGAACGATGATTAGCAAATTTGGATCATTCCACTTAGAACTAGATTACGCAACTTCTTCGTTTTTTTCAGCTTTCTCGAAATGTATCCCCGCTATCGACGCTTCAGAGATAAAAGTTATTATAACAAGAGCCCGGGCAAAAGTACGACATTTTTATGGCGATCGAAAAAGTTTCTTGGGTGTAAACTGGGTCTAGACCTGGACAAAAGTTGTTTTTTTAATATTTAATTACCATTTTTAGATTAAATAAAATTAGTGCAAATTCTTATTTAATCACACTTTAAATGGTTATTTTTAATTTTTTTGACGATTGAAACGTAAAGGGTCACTTAAATTGAATTTGTTAATTTGAATTTGATAACATGATCGTCAATGCTTATAATTAGCAATGAATCTAATTGCGTCGCAATTATTCTCTAAACAACATATTTGTAAGAAATGATCGGAGAAGAGGAATTGCTATGGACTACATTAAAAACCAACTATTAAAACGACACTAACTATTGAAACCATGATTGGCTTATAAGCAGTCATATTTACTTTGCTACTTGCAGATTTTCAGAAATAAAGGTACTCGCCATCTAGCGGCTAAGGTTTAAAGTGGTATTATCGTATATAAAGTGGTTGAAAACTGATCTGATTTTTTTGAAAACAATCCAGATGTTGTTTGAGGTCATTTAAAATTTATTTAATATTTTCAACAAAATTTGCCAAAGACGAGCTAATTAATTGTAATGTATTTTAAAACATCTTAAATGGTCGTTTTAAGATTATAAAGCCATCATGAATGTTGAGCTCTCCTGACAGGGAGGATTCGGAAATGAGATTTTAATTAATAACAAATAATGAGGCAGCAACAAACGCCTTTCCCATCTTACTGCTCGGATCTCGAGAACACACGTAAGAGATTATGTCTAAAAGACACGATTATAGAAATTATGTCAACGGTTGACCATAATCAATAATGCGGCTGTCCTGTGGTACTCGTATAAATGGAACCGTCTCGTATATTGATTTTCTTGGTATCAATCATGGAAACGGCGAGACTCGAGCATGGACGATTTCCGAACACGGACGTGTTTCTTGCGGACAACTTGAGGTTTTCATAATCAGCGTTAACGTACGCTCTATACAAGGGTTGAATTCGAGATTTTTTACCCTGGAGAGTTCGTGTACTGTCGCTGGGCATCTGTGATCCGATACAAATTAATGATCGTGCGCGCGGGCAACATTTTTTTTCTTTTTTTTTTTGTCGTAAAAATGTGACGCGAAAAAATCTCTGTTTCGATTCTGTGAATTGCGATTGAAACACGAGCAAGGCTCGATTTTTTTCTGCAGGTGGTCGCGCGCGCATCCTTTAATCGACGCGTTCGAAGGCCGAGATCGTCGCGGGAGACGACCTCGTCTGCGAGTGAAAATTTCGATGCTTCATATGCACGTTCGATGTGTCACGAAAAATAAGTCAGATGCTTCGGGGTTGAGCTGCGACGAGCAAAGTTTGAAATTCATTTTTCAGTTGAGAGGGTAGAGTTACACGCTAAACTCGAAAAGGCGAAGCGTTACGTTATAAAGTACAATCTGCACATGATATAATTTTTGATAATTATACAATTTTTGTAATACCTTTTCTATAGACTAACGTTGTTTTGAAAAGTTTAGTCAGCGCTTATAACACTTTTAAAAAGAGTTAAGGAGGGCATTTTTTATGCATTTTACTTGTTCGAGTTGTACGTGTACTCTAAGAGTGAAAATTATTTTGTGTAATAATTTTTATTCGCTCAAATGTGCTCTCTTCTAAGAAAATAGAATTTACACGGAATACAATGAACCAGTTTTAGGTGAGAGCTCTCGGTTCGAGTCCGGGTAGAGGCCAAATTTTTCGATGTGTACATTTGCCCATAAAAAACTGGAAAATAGATTAATAAATTGTTCCTAACCATGCTTTGATTTATATCATTTTCTTTACTTTTTCTTTTGCAGATTTATAGATGAAGATACTCGCCATCTAGCGGTTGAGGCTGACTTCAATTCTGTTTACAAATAATTGCAATGATTACGATGCAAATAATCAGTATTAAAGCATCAGTTTGTAATCAGATAGCGGATAAAAAATAATGTATAGTTAAATAGTACACAGTTCATGTGAAAAATAAAGTTATTTAGTTAATTTCGAATGAAAAGTTCATGTCAAAATATACTGAACAAAATTCATTATCGATTGCTTTAATTTTAGTACCCAAGTTTACATCAAATCGCATTAAATTCAAGGTTCATTTTTAACCGTGCATATTTGAAGAATTTAGATTCAGCTTTTTCCGCGAGTTATTTTCGTGTAATTCGCCTGTAAAATTTTCCTCCTTTTGTTGTTTTTCTGATGATTCAGCCTTTTTTCGTAACCGGTCGTACCCATTGAATGTTCGTAGTTACATACCTCTATCGGTGAAAAGTATGCAGTTGATCGGATGAATTTCGAATGAATCTTCGAGATGAAAGAAAAACTTTTTTTCGATTTTGACCCCTTAACTTACAATTCGTAGACTCGTAATAATTCAACTCGAAGTCTCGAATCGCGCGATCGATAAGCTAACAATAAAAGATTAATTCTACATAAATTTTCAGATAAATCGTGTCTCGATCAGACGCAGCTACGACGATGATGAAGAAAAAAACGAAGAAGTAAAAAAAAATTATAAATTCTCAAATACACGCACAAGTACACGATAAGCCCACGCGCACCGCTCGTGATAGCTCGCGGCAGCGGTGGTGGCGGCAAATTATAATATTTGTGAATCGTCGCGCGTTATTATACTTATAATATAATAGCTCGGATGGGGTCATCGATTTCAATTTTCCATTCGAGTACAGAAAAATATTCCTATACCCATATCTCTCTCTGTTTCTGCGCCCCTGTAAATTACGAAGAGCACCGATCGCTCGCGGGGGTACAGGTGCGAACGCGTCTTTATACAGCTTCCGTCGCGTCTTTTTTTCTCGCGCGCACGCACATATGCTCGTGATGTCCCTGGTCAAGGCTCGTTGAAGATGAGCTTAAATATTTACGTATCATTTTATACGCGTGCCCGACAACGACGCCCACAGAAATTCAATCATATTGTATATACGTACCGATGCACGCACACGAGAACTTGTAAGTAAGTCTCCCGCAGCGATAATTGCATGGGCGTGTGGTAACGAGAGTAAGAAATGCCCAATGAACGAATTTCATCGGTGTCTATATGGTGTAACGCGATAACGACGCTCGTATTGGATATATTTTATGAAGAATCATAATTGTTATTCGTCTCGGTGCGACGACGAGACGCAGTACACACGGTAACAATTTATAGCAGGAATTCTGAATTATTCAGATAACGTGATATCAAACCGAGGAAAATTAGAGGCCCCCGGGCACGCGCGCGCAGCTGGGCACAAATATATATATATAATTGCATATTAATAAGTTATTAAGAATATCTATATTCAACGAGAGGAGTCGGGTTACGATTTTTTTTTTTTTCAATTTTAATATTTTGTATGCCATGTAATACATGCACATGCCTCGGACGGCTTGTAAATCACTCTAACGCTTTGGACGTATCAAAAATGCTGCACACAAAAAATTACATAGCTATTATATGGTCTCTCTCTCTGTATAGCTCGTTACGCAACGCGAGGCCCCTCGCTATCCTACACGGAGCTCGCACACAGCCTTCGATTATGATTTTGGCGACAGCGATGGCGTGAAATTCGATGTATTATAATAGTTCTGGGCATTGTGCGCGTATACGTGCGACCGATTTTCTGCGAAATCGAGAATGGTCAGAAAACAACGAACTTTTTGTGCCATACGTATGTCGTAATTTTGTTAGTTTTTCGGTGAGCGCTTGATACCCTTTTTCGGCTATTATTTTTATAAAGTAGAAAAAGTAATTGCAATCAACGTAAAAAATTGAAAAATTGAATGAAAAAAAAGCATTTTCATATATACCAGCGGCCCGAAGATGACTACTTCCCTGCCACTGGGCAAGGAATTTCGAAGAGCGATTTTCGAAACACCGGGTAAGCCGGGAAAAAAGAATGCTCCAGAGCGCACAAAACACAAAAAGCTCTCAGGTACTTTTATACATTTCGTTGTTCTGAACCGAGTATGGAATTTTTAAAATCTATTATCTATCTATCCACAAGTAATTTTGCAGAAACCAAACGAATGTATGACTTATTTCCATTTATCAAACGCTAACTCGTTCATTGATTTGAATTTTTTAAGCAATTCATATATGAAAATCATGTTTCGTTTAACTGTCTTAGATATTTTACTACTTACTTGATGGTTCAATGACTAAACTGAATTCAATGCCTGATATCACGGGTAATACTGTCACGCATTGCCCAGGCGTTGAGAGATATTTTTCTCTGTTGTGCGAATGTTTCTCCACACATATCGCACGTTGGTGTAAGAAAATTTTGCCCCTGGATGAATGGCATTTTCAACGCTATTTTGGTGTAGTTTTAATATTATCTGCGAAACTCCAAGGTAATACATATCTCTGTACGACTTGTGGACGGTAGAGGGGCGAAATATCGTCAAGGAATTATCACAGACGCGAGTATTTCTAGCTAATATATACGATCGGTGCGTTCAGTCGCTAACAAGGAGCTAAATTCCTGAATGAGTGTTTTCTCGTGTCGATTAACCTCAAATATTTTTTCTCTGCGTACATCCTTAAAATTCAAAGTGATTACATTTAAAATAGCGAATGATGGAAAGCCCAGAGGATACAGTTAGGTATTTATTAACTTTTTTTATTCGTGGCGTGATCTTTTTGCTTTACATATTATCGATTCATCTGACTCGTTTTTCTTCAGGGTGAAGGAAGAGCCGATCAATGATACTTGGCCGGTGGCAGGCGATAATATTTTCGATTCGGTGGACTCATGCAAAGCCGTTAAATGTGAAACACTGCCGTTTCATAAATCATCAGTGAGTTCAATGATTCGAATTATGTTACTTTGATTGAATCATAGAAACTTATCGATAATTGTCATTTTAGGCACAATTGGCGAGTGAGACTGGAGCGTCGCGGGAGAGTTTAGGTAATGAAATATTCGCAGATTATGAGTGCCAATATGTTAAACTTGAACCGACATCTTTTTCGACAAGAGTCTGCAAAACTGAGTATCAAAGATACCCATCCGTTTTGAAAATAGAAAACTTGAATCAGAAAAATTACTCTAATGGAAAAAGTCTGATGATTTTGATAAAAAAGGATTTCGATTATGATAATAATTGTCAATTCCAAGCGGATTCCCGATTGAAAATTGACGAATTTAAGAAGATGAAAATATTTAGAAATATGACTGGCACCAATTTATCTTGCAAGTATATAAAGTGTGGAAAATTTTGTCAAGGAGAAGCAAAGTTAAATTCACGTATCAGTTCGACAGTTAAGCGTATTAGATCTCACGAATGTGGCATTTGCCACAAATTATTTGATTATAAAAGCTACCTCAAACGTCATCTCAACGCAGTGCATTATCGCAGTAAACTCTTTCAATGCCAAACTTGTCAGAAATCATTTTCACACCAAGGTAATCTTAATAAGCACTTAAAAACAATACATGATCTTCGCAAACCCTTCGAATGTCATATTTGTCACAAATCTTTCGGACGAAAAGAACATCTTGAAATTCACACAAGTACAGTACATGATCGTAGCAAACCCTTCAAATGTGATAATTGTTACAAATCATTTTCACTCCGAGGTAATCTCAATTCTCACATAAATGTAGTACATAAACGCATTAAATCCTTCGAATGTGATATTTGTCGCAAATCATTTGGATACAAAAAACACCTTGAAAGACACATAACTGCAGTACATAATCGGAGCAAACCCTTCAAGTGTGACATTTGTCACAAATCATTTGGACAAAAATCTGTCCTCAAATCACACATAATGAAAATATATCATCGTAGTACATCCTTTGAATGTGACATTTTTCATAAATCATTTGGTATGAAACCCTTTGAGTGTGAGATCTGTCAAAAATCATTTGGATACCAGAATGTGCTAAAGACTCACACAAATGCAGTACACAGTCATGGCAAACTGTAAAAGGATGAGATTTTTCCGTAGACATCGCAATGAAGACGTTTGAAATTAAATTACGTTCATATCACTCCATTTCAAAAAATTTTCTCATAAATATCCTTTGATTTTGTGAAGTACAATAAAATACTTTTTACTATTATTAACTTTGTTATGACTGCGATACCCCTCCCTCTTATCGTTCTAACATTAACTGCAATATTGATGATATTTATTATGTACCTTACGTAGAAAGATTTTTAGTTTATAAAGCATAAAACATTTTGATTGCCTTTATTGCTATTTCGAAAATGTAAGTTTGAACAAATTATTGTAGTAATCACGATTACTTAATAATCACGTTGAAAAGTATAAACTCATCGGTGCGTTTCGGAGGCTGCGCAAGCAGAGAGACAGCTGCATACGGATTACGAACTCTATATTACTACGGCTCTTGGCTCGAGCGTCGTCGCACTCACCTATAATACATATTACACAATCCGAATTCGACTTTCACACTTACATACGCGTTGCTCCAGTGCGTGAGTGTATAGCAAGAAGCACAATTAGAAATCTATACATATATATTACGAGGAAAATCATTACGGGCTTTCGGCGGTGCGTGTATTAATTAGCGCTTTGTGCCGCGCGCCACACACACACAACACATTATATACGCAAACAACGTGTTAATTAACGAGGTGTACTTTGAATAGTCGGTGGACAGACGTCGCGCATGCTTCAAAATTAACGCGCTCATTGTTGCGCGCCAAGGCAGTCTGCGATTTAGAAATTTGGATCGCCCGAATTATACGTCGTGTGTTTACGCGCAGAACGATGAAATTTCAATTGTAATTGTTTATGTATCGGCAATAATACAGATGTTTTGCTAATTTCCTCGCGCGCATTCCGCAATCTTCGAACAATACGACTTCCATTACGGCGCTTATGGACTTTTGGCTTCCGGCGAGGAAAAAAGGAAAAATACAATCCAAAATTTTTTGATGAGTCACTAAATTATGATGGATGAAAAAGAAAAAAGGCTCGATGGTGTATTATGATGTATGCTCGTACGAGCTGTCGACACCTTGAACTATTAGCGGTTTCCATCATAAAGGCTTCATAATTTTCGTGTCTTCGAGGTGTCAAAAGCATCATTAATATACGAGGCGCCTACTTTACGATGCGTATAATATGTATCAGATCACAATTGATGATCCTTCGTCAACCCGTTGAGATTTCAACGTATAATAAAGGAGGATATGTGTGGTTTTGGGATGAAGCGTTGAGAAAGCAACTAGAAAGATCGAGTAGCGGCAGAAAACAATGATCTCGTATTATGGAAAATTATGTTCCGCCATTGTATGCATGTTTATTTTAACACCTGTAGGCGCAAGGTCAATGTAGCATCTTTTTTTTCAGGCTTTTGTCTTGCCTATAATACCGTAATGATAGCCATGCAATGATGCAAAAGACTTTTTTTTTTGTATATCTAATCTTCGTGTACGAAGATTAGTGTCATTTACCCGATAAAAAATATACAAAAGAGAAAAATTTAAAGGGAGCAATGATCGCTCGGATAATTATTAAGCACGATAGTTTGAAACGAGGAAAAAAAAGCGGATAGGTACACGAACTCGACTATCGTCGGGTAATATCGAATCATGTGTATCGTAATCATTAGCGAGACATCGCGGCTTATCGATTGCACACGGTACCAGACAAAAGAGTGAGAGAGAAATAGTAATTTCCACCGCGAGTCAAGGTCAATATATCATGTAATTGCATGATTATATACTTTTTTTTCCTATTTAATATGTATTTGATCGGGCTTAATCTTCGAATTCGGTTGATTATCGATAACATTGTCGAGCAAGGAGAAAACAAAAAAACAATGGGAATAAGAATCATACGAAACACCTGTGAATCTCACGGGGAAAAAAAATAGAATAATTATCGACCTCGGGACCAACGATGATTGCACAATAATTAGGTAACGATTGTACATTCTAATGTTTTTTATTTTGTTGCTTTTCGAACGATATCGAAATAGGCCAATTTATTGATAACAAAGAGAAGACGAAGAAGAAGGAAGAAAAATAGCCCACGCACAAATATGCGATAGAGTTGACGAACACCGTGACTCGGTATACGATTTCATTCATGATTCCGCGCACAAATGATTGAACTTTAAGTAGGCTGATAATGAGCGAGAAAAAAAAATTGGAGACGTGCAGCTCATTGCGTCCAAGTCGCGCACAATACAAAGGATTATTACGTGGGTCGATTGTTCGCAAATAAGCGTTTTATAATTCGTGAATGCCTCTACATGCGCATGTAGGGCGTCGCGCAGACGTAATAATTGGATGTTGTTTTGTTTTTTTTTCGAGCGCACAGACGCGATAATATTATGCACGAGCACGAACTAGCTCGTCTCTTTTTTTGAATATGATTATTATCATAATCGAAATCCGATCCGATCGCGGTGTCGTCTGTGTGTGTGTGTGTGAAAGCTTGGTTGACATTCTTGATTGGCCTCAAAATTCCAAAATGATCGGCGCTTATAGTTCAGTATGTCAAGAAAAGAAAACTGTATTTAGGATCTTTGAATGCTCGAATTAGAGAGACTCGTAAATGGAGACACGCGACCTGTAACGAGCTTGTGTGATACAGGTGGTAAAAATTCAAATTTAGAGAAACCAAACTCTATAACGCATTTACTCGACGATTTAATCGAAAAAATTACGATAGATTATTTAGCTTAATGCGCATTGTAGGTTCAATTTTGAGATATTTACGGTGCTGCGTGAGCTGGAGCACGCAGAGACGTTGAGTACATGATCTGTTTTTAACGTTACCTCGCTATTTGTTTAAGGATTATGAAGGATTGAAAAGAACAATTAGCCACACATCTTCCAGTTCTTAAAAAATATAATTAACATACGATAGGGATAAAGTCGCAATTAGCCCATTCTGTAATTCCTCGCTTTGTAAAAAAAAGTATATTTATTTGTGTTTCATGCAATACATTTTATAATGCAAGGGTCTAAAAGTAGCAGCAAATTTGTAATTTTTTTTGTTGGAGTACTATGAAGTAATTAGATTCAATAAGTAAATAAAAATATAATGAGGCAATAAAGATGATTATCTTAAAACACATTTTTTAAGATTTAAAACTTTCTCTACGAGGCTAAGGTAAATGTCTTCATTTTGTTGCTTTTAAAAAAATATTAAATGAAAATACGAAAAAAACATGTTTGGCAATAGGCTCATTTTCGGAAACAAATGTAGACCTGTTCTCAATCCCTTTCAATGCTACATCATCTTTTTAAGCTTTCACCGCTAGATGGCGATTACCTCAATCTGTAAATCTGCAAGCGCCAAAGTCAAAATAATTGTATAAGTGCATGGCTCTAAAAAGTATTATTTTAAAGACTAGTCTTTATGTAGGTTCAAAATACCCCGTCTCTTGCGTTTCATTGTAAAAGTGTGAATATTCATTTAAAACATTGAAAAAAAAATAAACTGTTTCCCCAACACGAAAATCGCGAGTGTTATATTTTCGTCCGAAAAATGCTTCGCAGCTAGCAAGTCTCGATCGAAAAAATGCTTCAACATCGAAGTCACATGAAGTTTCGAAGCATCTCGAACTCGCAGCTGTGCCGTTCATAAACGAAGCATCTTCCCATATTCTGCTTATTATAATTTTTGAAGGAAATATAATAAGCTTTATCTAAGACGTACTAATTTTTAATGAGCGCATAAATTACTCTCCTTATACACGCAATGAGTACATGTACGGGTGGGTCACGTTCACCCGCCTCTCAGCTATTTTTTCTCGCGAATGCGTCACTCTTGATATGCATCGGGCAAAACAGAAGTAACAACAGTATGTCGACGTTAGAAAAATATCGCTCTTATCGCAAAATTCACCGACCAATGATACACGGGCTAATATGATTGCTTTTGCATCATCGATGTACGGTGGACGTTTATTCGAGAAAACCTGAATCACAATCTGACATCCCTACTCCTTACGTTAGCCGCGCCTATAGAGATACCCATGGTCCGAGATTTTATCTTTATTCTCACAATCTCTCTTTCTCTATATAATATATATAAATTTCACGATGTGCTCTCTGTCTGCTATATATCCACGCGAGAATAAGCGAAACTCGCCGTTTAATGTTTTTTTCGATAAGATAAATAATTCGCAGCTATGAGCGAGCGAGCTACTCTACGCCAGGATATCGAGCCTCGACGCAATTTGCCAATGTACTGCGGAATAATGGCTCGATAGAGCTGGCACGCGTATATAGGAAGAAGCGTTAAAAGTGCGCGGAATATGAGCGTCGAGCCGTTACGACGTGATGTACGTATAGGAGAGCTGCTCTCGGGGGCTGCGAGAGAGAACAACAATTTTCCCCTGTTACGCTCGCGGCGTGTCTATCCGTGTATGTATACGTATACAAGCTTGGGGGGGACGTTGCGTGAATGATTCTTGTATCAAGGGGCTTAAATTGGATATTAATATTTCATAAACTCGACGATCGAGTATATACGCATCTTTATATTCTCTCTCTCGCGCTCGTTGTTCCATCACGATTTTGTCATGTTCATCGCGCGCACGCGGCGAAAGAGAAAGAGAGAGAGAAGTTTGGATTTATTACGGGTGCGCTAACTTCCCGACTCGGAAATATCGATGCGCGCGAAATACTTTTTTTTTGTATCGATACGATTCGGCTGTTTATTATTGATGGCCGCGGGGATACGTTCGGGATTTTTTAACGATTTGTTTTCATCGCGATTCGCGATGGTATTTTTTACGAACGTATTATCGGTGTGATGCCGATTTACAAGCTTGTAATGATGAGCTGTAATGATGAGTATATAAATATACAACTCGTGTGCGATTCAGGTTGTAAATTGAATGATTTGTGTGAGCAACTTGAATACTATGTGCTTATGCCAGCTCGTGGTAAAACCAGGACAAGATGTTACAATTTCGTATGTGCCATGGCGGTTTTAACAATATAATTTCGTGCATATGAAAATTATATTAAAAATCTGACCGTTGCATGAGACTGACTCACGAAGTGAATAAGTTTGCAATATACCATTATTTGTACTTTATCACTTGCGGATATGCGAATAAAGGCATTCGCCATCTAGCGGCGACAGCTAATTGCTTCGAAAATGACTGAATTGTTATGTCTGTTTTGAGCATTCGACGCAAAAATAATTCAGTTTTAAAGCATTAATTTTTAATCTAATTGTTTAAATTTGAGTATGATATTTGAATCCATTTCATTCATTTTCAACGAAGATTCCCTGTACGCAAGTCAAGATATCTTTAATAAATTCACTATCGGCTATTTTAATTTTAATCCCTAAATTTACTTGAACATAGTACTATACCACGGTAAAATTGATTTTAACTTAATTTTTATGGGTTTTTTTGATAATTTGTCAAGTACCTTATAACTTTTACATTTCGAAACGAAATCCGTAACTAATGTTAAGAAAAATAAGAGAGACAAATTAATTTTTGTGACAGTCTAATATTTTCTATAAATTTCCGTAAAAGTATAAGGTCAGACTGTCTCTAAGCTTTATATATAATTGGCTCTAGATTTCTCTTTCTTCAATCGTATTATAACCCATTTGCGAGGGCAAACATAAATATCACACCTGACCAAAGTCATCATAATACAAATTCGAATCTTCGATGGCTTTAAAAGGTTTCATATAGATAAGAATTCTAATGAGATAAAAATTCGTCTAGGGATTTAAATTCCAGAGGCAAAATCGGCACATTCGATACAACTCAAACTTAATGGATCAAAAGAAAGTTTATCGATTCATTAGTCTATTTTTTTGTCCCTAGACATTGATTTGCGTGAGAAATTTTTCTTCGGAAATGCATACATTAATTCGCCCATGATTATCTTCTTAGTCGGACAAGTTGGAGACGTTGAACTCTCTGTTTACCTCATAGTCGTACCTAAACTAGTAAAAAGAAACTAAAAGAAAGTCCCATCTAATTATCCCATCACACACACACACGCACACATGGATTTGCGGCTGGATATAGGGCTATATATCGGAATCGATCGCATTGGGCCGAATTAATCGCGCGTAAATATAACGCAACTGTATACGGTTCTCAGCCGCAAGCTTGTTCGCGCACCGGCAAAATGGCAAGGCAAACGACCACAAGCTTGCCCCGGCTAATGTACAAAAGCGCCCCGATTGATAACTCGATAACAAGTCAATCCTCCCTTATATATATTCTCTATACTCGGGGCGAGGCTTATACCATTGTATTATTATCATTATTTTCGGTAATCGCAGGAAAATTGCACCCGTATCGTACCGTATCGCTTGCTCTAAAAGAGATCGAATTAATCGTCGCTGGCGGGTATTATACCTAGTAGCGACATGTGCATCGCGTGTGTGTGGATCGTCCGTATGTGCACGCCGCCCTTTTCAAGCCCGACAATCGCTCGCGCGTGTGTTTATATACACGCGAAAGTTGATACGACCCATATGTGCGCGAGCGCGACGTCGAGTATTTTTCATCCCTCTCCACCCCTTGTCCCGCTTGAAAATCATCGAGTTTGCAGCAGCAGCCAGCGGGGGTGTAAAGTAAACCGAGACAAATATCTATTTATCACGCGTTGTATAAACGAGCTGCTCGGGTCTGAATTGATATCGACGCGCTGCGCGTACACAAAATTCAAATTCCTGTAGTCAATTTTTTTTACTTATCGAATTCGAGTATCGAAAGTGTTGTACTCGAGCCTTCGATTTTCTCGGTATCGAGGAAAATGTTGAGGAAAATATCAAGAGGGTGGAGTTGCTATTTACTCGAACGCAGACACCGAGCTGGTCAAGCTGCAACATAGCACGATTTATGACCAATTAAAATCATACGTATATCTCTTTGTTTTCCGACAACAATTCCAAATAATCGACTCGTAATATTATACAATAATACGACACGAGACCTTAACAAGCCGACTTCCATCGAGCGTCGAATGCTTATTAAAATTTAAAATTATTCCACCCCCCGCTACTGATTCGAGGCATCAGTAGGACAATTAGTTCCGTAATTACGAACTGTAAATTTTGAGAATAAGTATGTACGGAAAACGAAAAGATCCAATACGCGTTCACGACATTCCTATCTGTACTCGCGTATCACTGGTCAATGTAGAGCTGATGATCACGGACGCTATTGAATGAAATTGTGGGCGGACAACGAGTTGTCGATCGTAAATTCGTCATCTTTTTCTTTGCCGGTTTCGGGATACACGCATATGTGTGAAAAATCCCAAATGCCTTTCTACTCGCTTTTCTATATTTTAATTTAATGCTGCACAGAGGATGTTGCGTCATGTGTGAAACCATCGAGTTAAGCTTTTAAATAATATTTAATTCGTGTGTCCAATGGAAAAGAAAATTTTTCAATCTTTTACCGATAATCGGAGGTGTCTGGATTGCGTCTCGATAGATGTGTATGATCTCGTCGAGCATCAAATTTTAACAGTGGGAAAATAAGAGGAGAAATAAATTAATAAGCGAAAACGTACATGTACACGTAATTGTTTTTTTTATTGTTAATCAGCTCCAACGCAAGCCATATTATATATAATTCTTGTAATTGTTTTGCCTATACTTGTGTGTGTGTGTGTGTGTGTGTGTGTGTGTGTGTGTGTGTGTGTTTGTTGGCTCGTTTCGGCCGCGTTACATATGTACAAATACAATGAGATCATAATTTGAAATTATGAACGAATAAAATAATCGTGAGCTTCGTTTACATCTGATACACAACGCAAATTAAAAACATTTACACTTTATCTCGTTAACTTATTCGATATTTTTTTTTGCTTCGCTGCCTCAATAGATACTAATATCGATCGATTCGTCGTACATCGCACAATGGATCGCGTTTTTTTTTTTTTTTATATACAAGGGAGGCAGCGAGACTCTTTTTTTTTTTTCGTTCTCGATCACAATACAATTTCGTCGCGGTCAACGAGAGGGCGACTCGATTTCGTGTATATCTATTTTAATTTAAAGTAATATAATTTTCTTTTCTTACATAATAATTAATTAATATGTACAAATTATCTTTGCGATTCATTTCCTCCCGTAAAAACTCCTCTCCTTAATGCGGTGGAAGCAAATTTAACCCGTCAACTTACGAAGTCTCTATCTTACAGAAGATATCAGCGTTCAAATTTCTTCCTCCTCCGCGGAGGGATAAACTTTGTTTTTGGTTTTTACGCCCGTACATGTCCCCGCGTGTCTCCGCGGCTCGAACTTTTATTACTCTAAAGACTAATTATTTGGCTTCTATCCAAAAAAAAATCATACGAAATTTTTTCACACTATCTATAGCAATATTGCACTTCGTTAAATAACACAGACGACGGTCGCGTTCGACGCAAAAGGACGACGCGCCGGGACATGTACGGATGATCAGCGGAAAATCGTGGACTTACATTATTATGTATTTCATAAAAAAAGTATATTTACAAACTTGGCGAATGAGAGGGTGACATGGAAAATGCATACAAGCGAGAAAAAGAAACTGTGTGCCTTGTGTAAGTATATTGTATGTGTCCCACCACGATTCACATATAAATATCTTATTAACAGTTAACGTATCGTCGTTTGTTTCTTTTTCTTCGTGCGTGATTTTTTTTTCGTGACGTATAATACAGAACGAGGGATGAGCTGCTGCACCGAAAGAAATTCCTCGCATTCCCGTAGCGTGAAAATCGAAGATTCGCGTCTCGTGAAAAATAGGTTCCTTGCCGATTTCGTTTCTTCTTATTCCATGCAATACACGAAGAGCTAAATATTTCAAATAATTTTTAATTGAAAACTATATGGCTTTCGTTGTTGCGCGAAGAAAAAAAAAGGTAAGATTCGACGAGAAATTTTAATCCACGCGATCGCGAGTTTTTCAGTTTTTCACGCTTTTTTTTATCGTCGATGCGTTCGCGACGAATTTCGTCTCGGTCGCGCTTGAATTTCGGCTAAAAAAAATGATATTTACAATTTCTCTTACTGTTATATGTACAATTTGGAATGTATGATAATTTGCATAATGAGACGTGTTTCTACTTATTGACTAAGGATCACGACGCCGGACGTCGGCTCTTTCATGCCTTGTCGTTGGACGACGACGTCGACGACGTCTTGTAGGGCTGGAAAAGCTTCGGCTGGGACTGTGTCTGCTGCTGCGTTCCCGAAGTAGCCGTCGCAGTCTGAGGCTGGACCTGATGCTCGACCGGCTGCAAGAGTAACGGATGATAGGTCGGGAATCGGAAACTGGCTTCGTAGTGCTGCGACTCGTTGCCGGGCGGCGACAGATGATGAAGATGATGATGATGATGGGGATGGTACATCGAGGTGACGGGCGCGATACCGTTGCTGCTGCCGTTGCTGCTACTGCTGCTGCTGCTGGCGGAGCTTCTGATCGGTGGGGGGGCCACGACGCTGCCACCGAGGCCGGCACTGCCTCCGCTCGTGTCCAGCTGTCCCGAGGAGCCGCTGCTGCAGCTGCTGCCGAAGGACGAGTTGTGATGGTTACGAGACGGCGTGGACTCCGGCGGGGTCAGGGGCGGCGAGGGTGTGGTAGTGACCGGCGATACCCGATGATGATGAGTGGGGCTCACACCGGCGAAGGCGCTGTTGGGCGAGGGCACCAGGCGACGGCCACCCTGCGGCAGGGGTGGTGGTGAGCCGCTTCCTACCAGTTGTTGCTGCTGCTGATGTTGGCTCGCGATCGTGGACGCGACCGGACTGCTGGTCCTGGACATGGACAGGTCCGTGAGACTCGGCACGAGCTTTAAGGGACTATAGAAATCGTGTACGTACAGGTCCTGGTGGTGAGTCACGATGCCGTTGCTGCTCAGCGGGGTCACCGATGAGGAAACTGGCGCGTTGTTCACTTGTAATCCGGGACTGCTCACGTGCTTGGGCGCGAAATCGCTGCTGTCGTTGGACGAGCTGTCGTGATGCTGCTGCTGCTGTTGGGTGGAAGCGAGGGTCGGCGCAGCCGAGGGTGGCGTCGCGACGGTGGAGGTGGCGGCGGCGGCGGCCGACACGATCGGTCCGAAGCTCGGATGATGCTGCATGGCAGCTGCGGCGGCGGCGGCTGCGGCAGCAGCCGCTGCAGCGGCCGCCGGCGTACCGGCCAGCGGTAGGCCGTAGGCCGTGCCGATGTTGAGCTTGTCGAGGCCACCGGTCCGGGCGAAGGCCGAGGCGAAGCTCATGTTGGCCTGCATGGCCGCCTGGGGCGTGATCAGGGGATAGGGCGGCTGCTGGTGCTGCTGCTGGTGCTGCATGCCCCGCTGTATCTGCGAGTGGGCCAGTGCCGCTACGGTCGCGGGTGGATAGGGGCCACCCCTGTGGGACGGATAGAGATGCTGCGGCGCCAGGTGATGATGAGCCATAGAGCCGTGATGATGCGGATGATGATGATGATGGGGCGCCGGGGGCAGTCCCGTATAGGCCGGATGCTGACCGTAGGCCGCCGCCGCTTCCCTCATCAGCTGCTGGCCCTGCTGCGTGTTGAGCAGCATGTTGAAGTCGTGATACATCGGGTAGGGCCAGACCATGGAGACGCGCTGGCGCTTGTCCTTCATGCGGCGATTCTGAAACCAGACCTTGATGGTGGACTCGGGCAGGCCGAGGCTGGTGGCGAGCTCGCAGCGCCGAGGCCGACTGACGTAGTTCTCGCGCAGAAACTCCTTCTCGAGCATGGCGAGCTGCTCGCGCGAAAAAGCCGTGCGGTACCGGCGCAGATTCGGATCCATGGGGTTGTTGCTTTGGCTCTGGCTCTGGCTGCCGCAGCTTTGTTGGCTGGTGCTCGGACCTATACGCAGAGAGAGATTAGCGAAATGTAAACAGACGAATTGACGGTAGGATTATCGCGGCTCGAATAATTTCCAACTCATCGCGATTTTTTCCTTTAAAATTGAGTGCAATAAATAATTGACGAAACTCACTTTTGTTGTTGTTGTTGTTGTTGTTATTGTTATTATTGTTGTTGTTGTTGTTGGTCTCGCTCTGGGGTGGACTGGTGGGCGGCGACTCCGGCTGCGACTCGCCGGCCGAGTTGACCGCAGCGTCGGGATCGCTGCTGCTCGTCGTCGCCCCGACTCCGTTCGCGGCCGACTGGCTCTTGGCTTGCTGGGACTCGTAGGGCGACATCGTCCGATCGAAACCGTTCCTCAGCATCGCTACTTATCTCTCTTTTATCTTCGAGCTTTTTTTCTTCCTTCTTTTTAGAGCTTCGAGAATCGATGCTTGCGGTGGTGGCGAGACGCGCTCACACACGCACTAAGCACAAGTTGTAGTAATCGCACAATTTTTTCGTTTGGCGCGTATCGTCGTTCGCGTACGACACCACACACGTTTTTATTACGACACAAACTGAACACGCGATAGAGATCAATCACCGTGTAAATAGGCACTGATAGACCGCATCTCAGATGTACCAAAGAGTCACAAGCACTGCACTTTAATCATAGAGAACAGAGAAAGAGAGATATAACTGTAAGCTGTACGTGTGTAAGCTGAGTTGCGATATGATACTGTGTGTGTTGTGTCGTCGTACGAGTTCGAAGCTTCGATTGAGACTGTCGCGGTCTCGCTTCGAGATTCTATATAAACGAAATATCTCGTGGGTCCCCTTCTACCCGTTTATATCCCTCCCTCTTTCCACACGAGCGCGTGCCATGACCAAAAGCGTGTTCGAGACACAAGAAACGTGTTCTGGAACCACGCCCATCGTTTACTGCACAAGCCAATGCATGGCCTATAGGAAGGGGAGATGGTGAGTCTCTGCGTCTCTCCGTCTTCGCTCGTGTGTGTGTGTGTGTGGTATAACCGCAGATACTCATCTTCCGCGCGGATGCGACAATAATGAACCGAGGCCTGTATACATTATTATAGTATAGATGTATTTAAAACACATCCGTAGTCGTCGAGATCCTCGAGGCTTCGTCATCGCTATTATTACGGAGTGTGTATAAGAATTCATCCCTTACGGCAGCGCTGATTTTCTTTTTCTTCCGTTTCATATTATATCCACTCGAGAACAAGAGTCAAGACTCGTTCAACACTCAAGCGCGTTATATATATATATATATACCTCATTAATCATATTATGTGTAACCGTGTGTCATATTAGAGGCTATTCATACGCGATGAGTCATCGTTTTCGTGTGGATTTGATCTCGGCTTATTACACGTATTGTATCATAGGTGTGAACGAACGTAAGAATCTTACCTGCTCGGCCGTGAAACGATTCGTATTTAGAGCTCCGTAGGGTGCGTAAACGAGATTGGAATCGTCGTCTAATTGAAAGATTAATAATATTTCTCAGAGTCGAGCCATAAGTGCAGTTGAGTAAAATTATACAGATCATTCGTTGCTGTTTATTTAACATTTTCGTAAATGGATTAATAATGTTAATATTTTTCATTTTCGAGGTACGAGAAAAAGTTCCTGCACGAATAACTGTATATCTATGCACAGAGTGAAAATTCTATCACTTGGAAAAGTTGAGTTAACGATGATAAGAAAAAACTGTGTATCTATGCACAGAATGAAAATTCGACCACTTGGAAAAGTTGAGTCAACGATGATAAGAAAAAACTTTCTTAGAGCCGATTAAAAAAATAATCAAGCGCATGTCCGAAACACGTGAATCCTTCACACTGTCCGGTAGGTCATTATTATCATTTTTTTGTAAATTATTAGGAAAAAATCTGGAACATGGTATCTAAAGAAATTCAATTTTTATTGATAAAAGTAAGGCGATTAATAAGTTAGTTGCAGCAAAAACACGAATAGAATACTTTGTTATCGACTTTGATATATGATGAATCGAGATAAGTCGGCTAATTAGCGTTAAGAGTTTAAAAATTGAGGCAACAACTACGATTACATTGATGTAATGAACGTAATGTAAAATCATTACGTTAGCTAAAATGCTTAGTTACTAATGAATCCGATTTAATTAAGTATAATTGACCTGTCAAGGTAGACGGCAATGAACTTATTCTTGCTCTAAAATAATATACGCAACTTTTGCCGCCAATTTTAAGCTTTCGCGGGGAAAAAATTGTTATCAACTGTGGCAGGCATGGTCTGCTAACAAACCTAGTCACGGCACACGTCTTCGGCTATAATTCCTCGTTTAGAAAAATAAACTATTGGGCATATAAATTACGTTTACCGCCCAGCATTTTTTACGTAAAAATTATTGCTTTCGATAATGCATCGATCAGTTCTCTAACCGCAGACTAAATAGTGTGCCCACGCACACACAGTCTCTCATGAATTACAGTTTCACACGTTTGAATCGTCACGTATATGTAAAACACCGAGCACCGCGTGTGTATCGTAACGCCTGCCCTCATTGTGTTTCCTAAGTACCCGAGAAAACAACTGAGCTCGTGTCCGTGCATCAATTGATCTTGACCACAAACTAACACTCCTCTTCCCTGCTCTCTTCTCCCCCGCAGCGAAGCCGACTCGCGTGGACACGCAATGAGTATGGAACAATACGCGTCAATCACACGCTCATCATTACACAGAATCACTCGATGGTTCTAATTAAGCGCAGGGGGTTTAGTGTGTGTCCGTGTGCAACTAGATCCGACCGGATGACACCGGCCACACCTTCAATTTTCATTTTGATTTCGAGTGATTATGTGGTTTAATATTGTTTTCAACATCCGGATATTGGATCATGATAACCGTCGTACAAACGTGTAACGATAGATGTCGTAAATAATATTTAACACGAGTTTGTATAATTCGACATTTTTGTATAATTTATTCGGGCGATTCTCGTCATTTCTTTTACCGATATAAGACTTATCACGTACGCTGGTAATATAATATAAAAAAATTCTTTTCAGGTGTCATATCAAGTATCAGTCGATAATCTAGGAAAATACTGAAATATACCGATATACATACTTTCCACTCTAATAAGAAACCCGCCACGCACCCTTTCCGTATAAAAGTTCTAACCTACCTCTCTCTCTCTTATTTACCTTCTCTTTTCTTTTTTCGTTGCGTTAAAAGAAAATAAGAGCGTTTATGGGCGTGGAAAGGAAAAAAGAAGGGAAATGGACCGGCGCGTTGTATCGCGTCGTTGTCGGGCTGTATATACACGGGCGCATCGTCGAGCGACTTTACGCGCCAGCTCCGTGCGAGGGGGGTTGTTAAAACGGCGCGGGCATTAAGCGCGCGAAGGTGATTCTCTTTCTTTATTTCGAATGAATGAAAGAGGCGAGATTTTAATCGTATTGTACGACCGAAAGTGCGATGGAGTGAGATTTCAACGAGTCGTTTTACAACGCTGATCGTACTGCTGGATGGCATTAGCAATTAGTTATATATTGCAGTTTTTCAATTTTCTCAATTTTATTCAAATGTCCATACCTTCGAGAATATTGTGTTGAAATATTACGTTAATCCGAGAAAAATTGACGGAGCTGTGGCTATTTTAATTTACTTTGTACCTTGTACTTATTTTTACGTATTTTTGGCTTCTATGGCACGTATAACATCTCTTCTCTATTGGGAGACTACATGGATTTAATGAAAAAGGTCCAGCATCACGAAAAAAACAGCAAAAACACGATTTAGATGCATTAGATGATGTCCCTTTAGGTAATGTTTAGACGATGAAATTCACGTTTCTTGGCATCAAAATATTTAAACGCGTTTCTTGAACGATTGCATTTTTCGAGTCGGTGTATATCGTAATTCAAAAAACGAATGGACTGATCGTTCTAAAATCTTCACACATGTTTTCACCTCATTTCACGAGGTAGCGACGCCGAGATATATTTAGTTTTTGCAATATTTTCTTTTTATCGACGTTATTGAAGTTGTAAAATGTCATATTTTTCTTTTTTTTTTTTGCATTTTTTATTTTAAATGGACATCAAGCGGTTAAAAATCAAAATATTCGAAAAAACTCAACGTCACTACCTCCATAATTGTTTAAATTTCGAAAAAAGGTCGAATGGTTTGTTTCTAATGATCCTATCAAGGTCATAGTACTCATAATTGAGTACGCTTGAAAGGTTATGCTTTGGGATAAACTTCAACCATATAATCTTACCATTACCAGATTGAATGTATAAACTTCCAAAATCGAGCAAAATTAATACAAAATTAAGTGTATCCTCGGTATACGATAATTTTGATAGCGTGAAATTATGCATGTTACTTACAGATAAATAGTTTTAAATGTTGTGACAACATAGTGTATAAATAATTCAATCAGAAATTTAATTGTAAACAAAACATTGTGACATAACGATTTTGACATCGTTCCTCGGCAAACTGATCATGTTTATAATAACAACCAATTAGTTGGGATGTTGTCTTTGGAGATGAAACAAGCCTATCAAAAGAAAAATTTTACTACTTTCATTTTCGTGGCTCTGACTAGAAAGATCCATCGTTTAATTTAGGTATTAAAATGGATCAAAGTGAGAAGAAAACTGAAGAAGTTAACTCGAAAGATAATTTGAGTGAAAAAGACATTGTTGTTTTAGACGAAAAAAAATACGTTTGTGATATTTGTCAGGAGGCATTTACACTAGAACCAAGCATGATAACACATCGAGACTCAATTCACAATGAAAAAAAAATGTTTGCATGCGGCAAGTGCCATAAGAAATTTGAGTTCCGAAGTCATTTGAGTAGACACCAAATATTAGCTCACAAAAATCGCAAAGATTTTGCATGCGACAAGTGCCATAAGAAATTTGAGTTCCGAAATCATTTAAGTAGACACCAAATATCGGTACACAAAAGCTGCAAAGATTTTGCATGCAACAATTGCGAAAGGAAATTTGAAAATAAATTCACTTTACTCAAGCACAAAAAAATATTCCACGAAGTTTTCAAAGATTATTTATGCGAAAGATGCGCGAAGAGATTTGGAAATAAACGAAGTTTGCTCTTACACATAAAAACAGTCCATGATGGTCGGAAAGATTCTGGAGATAACAAGTGCGGGAAAAAGTTTAAAAGACAAACAGTACACGATGTTTTCAAAAATTGTCAATGTGACCATTGCGGCAAGAAATTCGGATGTAAAAGTAGTTTGCTCTTGCACATAAAAACAATTCATAAGGGTCGCAAAGAGTTCGCATGCGATAATTGTGAGAAGAAATTTGGACAAACATCGCATTTGTTTCGCCACCAAAAAACTATCCATGAAGGTCGCAAAGATTTCGCATGCGCCAATTGCGAGAAGAAATTTGCATATAAATCAGATTTGCTCCAGCACCAAAAAACTATCCACGAAGGTCGCAAAGATTTCGCATGCGCCAATTGCGAGAAGGTATTTGGAGTAAAATCGAATTTGCTTGTCCATCAAAGGACAGTCCATGAAGGTCGCCAAGATTTCGCTTGTGGCAAGTGTGAGAAGAAATTTGCACAAAAATCGGGTTTGCTATACCACCAAAAGGCGATACATGAAGGTCGAAAATATTACGCATTTAACAAATGCGAGAAAAAATTTACACTAAAATCAGATTCGTTGAAGCACCTATACGCAGAACACGAAGGTCGAAAATATTT